CCACCACCGCCACCCTCCAGTGACAGCCACTCTCTGTCCCCACTAAGGTCCTACCACAGTGATGTCCGAGGGTGCCCGGAACATTGTGGCAGCAATGAAAGCCCATGGCGTGGACAAGGTCGTGGCCTGCACCTCGGGTGGGTGGCGGGGCCCTAGAGGTGGGGCGACGGTGAGGGGGGCTTCTGGATAGGCGGGGGGGCCTCTGCAGGGTTGCAGTGGACACAGCCCCAGTTACTCCATCAAGGCCTGACTGTACATGCCTGACCTTGCTGGGTGAGGCCGGGGCCCGGCGTGACCGACACAGTCTGGGGGCTGCACTCCTGGTGGACAGAGGTGTCATCAAAGAGCGACGGGCTGGAGTAGTCAGACTGGGGGTGCACAGACAGGCATCAGTGGGGTGCAGGCTCAGGCAGCGGGGTCAGGGCTGGGATTGGAGGGCCTAGGTAGAGGAAGCAGGGCAGGCTGTGGCTCTGAAAAATCCAGAGAAAGGCTGAAGGTGTATGGCAGAGTTGTTAGCGTGAACAGGCGTCTATCGCACATTCTCTGCATACTTAGCGCTACCCGAGTGCCAGCCAGGGTGCCCTTTCTGCACAGAAGTCCTGTGCCACTCACCGGTGGTGGCGCGTAGCAGGTGCTTACTAAACAAAGGCTGCTGTGGTCTCCCCTGTGTGGCTGAGGGAGTGAAGGCCCTTGGAGGCCCACTGGGGTCCTTGAGCTCACACAGCTTGTGATGGCCGAGCCGGGGCTGTGGAACGAGGCTGTCTGGCCCTGAGGCCTCCACTCCTCACCTCCAGGTCTCCTCACAACAGTCGCCTCCCGTAGAGGGAGGTGATGTGAGGGAGGCCTCCTGCTGGAGCAGAGGCCGCCACTTCTGCAGATGGGAAGGCTCTAGGAGGGATGAGGCTGGAGCAGAGGGAGGAAAGGTGCTCGGCAGCTGCGAGGTGGGAGGGCTGACAGCACCCTGACAGGGACTTGGCTTTCACCCTGAGCAAGATGGAGCTTCTGTGTGCACAAGGCCCCCTGACTGTGTGTTGGGGGTGGGGCAGGGAGACCAGGGAGGAGGCCACTGCCCTGGTCCAGGCAGGAGGTGACGATGGGCAGGTGGGGTGAGAAATGGCCAGGCCCTATGCGAGGCCCCCACTTTTTGGCCTGGAAGGCAGGGATGAGCCCCTGCTGGGTTCTGGCCTGGCACAAGATTGGCAGGCAGTAGGCCCAACCAGACTGTCCTCAGGCCGGGACCAACCTTGTCCTGTGTCCCCCCAGCCTTCCTGCTGTGGGACCCGGCCAAGGTGCCCCCGAGACTGCAGGATGTGACTGATGACCACATTCGGATGCACAAGGTACTCCAGGAGTCGGGGCTGAAGTACGTGGCCGTGATGCCCCCGCACATAGGTGAGTAGGGCAGAGCCGCAGCACTGCCCCCCGCCCCTCCCATGCTGGGGGGAGGCCACCAGGCCATCCCTGGCCAGCCTGCCGTGGCCGGCTGCCGCCCCTACACACACTCTCTCTCTCTCTGTTTCTTTCCCTGCTTCACGGTGCCTCCATTCCAACTTACCGTTTGGTTCTCCGGTGAACAAGCGACACAAAATCTAGACATGTCAAAGGCTGGTGTTTAGCGGCCTCCCTCCTGGGAGCTGGCTACTGGTGGGCGCTTCTTGCTGGTTTTATTCCTTTTTGTTTTGTTTTGTTTTTTTTTAAAGATTTATTTATTTGTGCATACAGAACTGGGGTACAGGCCAGAGGCTCAGGGGCGGCGAGAGGCTTCACCAGAGACAGAGTGGGGAGCAGAACAGGCAGATGGACGAAGTACACTGCTGAGGGGAGCAGTGGGCGGGTCAGGAGAGGTCTGCCGCGCCATGTGGTCTCCTCCGGGGCAGGCGAGGATCGAACTCATGCGGAAGCAGCTTTAGATTCTCAGTGCTGTGCTTTAACCCGCTGCGCCACCAGGGAGGGCCATTGTTTTGTTTTGTTTTTTACAATCAAACTGGCTTTATTTTTTAGTAGCTGGGAGTGAAGTCTGGCAGTTTCCTCAGGGAAACTCAGTGGTAGCTGGCACAGACTGGCAGGAGCCCCGGCCCGCTGGCCTGCCCCCCACCCCCGGGTGTCAGCGCACCCTCTGTGACAACCCCCGCTGTGTTATTTACTAGGCAGGAGTCACTCCCCGCCAGCCCATATTCAGGGAAACGGGACTGACACTCGCCCGGACATCTGTGTGCTTTCTCTCTTTCTCTCACTTAGCACATGTCTCCTGCACTGGGAGGTCAGCCAGCCGGTGGAGCCTGAGGTATTGTCTTCATTGGGTCACGGCTGTATTTCGAGTGTCCAGAACAGGGCTGGACTTGGAGATGCTCAACAATGCATGGGAGCTTCTGATCCAGGGGAACAGCACCTCACAGTGGTGGTGTGGAGGGGATCCCAGGCCTGCACCCTCCGCTCCCCTCCCTGATGAGAATTCACCCTGAGAGACAGTCAGGCACAGGCAGTGTTAATTCAGGGACAGATGACTCTTGCTTCGGTGGGGGGCCTTTCTAAAGAGAGGCAGAGGACAGGGAGCCGGGTGCTACTTTGGGTAGTGCTGCAGGGGGGCGCAGGGGGTGGGGTGAGGAAGCAACAGAGCACCGTGAAGGGAGGGGTGAAGGGAGGGGTGGGTGGCAGAGGCTCTCTGAGGAATTGGTGTGAAGAAGCGTAGAGCAAATAGCCCAGGGAAGCTCTGGTACCTCCTCCTCCTCCTCTCTCCACCCTGCCCTGTCCACAAGCCCCCCTGGCTGTGTGTTGGGGGTGGGACAGGGAGGTCAGGGAGGAGGCTACTGCCCTGGTCCAGGCAGGAGGTGACAGAGGGCAGGTGGGGTGAGAAATGGCCAGGCCCTATGTGAGGCCCCCACATTTTGTCCTGGAGCCTCTGCAAGGCAGGGATGAGCCCAAGGAGGGCCTTTCTGCTTTGCGCTCTGCCTTCTGGGCCCCTGGTGAGAAGGCCCAGGGGCCAGCTTGCCTTGGAACTCCACATAAGGTTCAGTGGGGCTTCAAGTAAAGGGCATGGGCTGCCCGGGCCCTACTGGGTCCAGAATCCTCAGCACTGGGTGGGCTTTAGGCCTGCGGCCTCTGGACTTTTGTTTTCTCAGCTGTAAATGGGGCTCCTAGTATTACTTCATGACCCAGGTCTCACCCAAAGGATATTTAACAGAGTCGGTTTTTTTTTTTTAATTATTTTTTGCCTTTTCTTTTAAGTTTTGTATGTTCTGTGAGAACTCTGAATCTCTCAACAAGGCTAATGAAACCCTCATCCACGTCCCGTTGTTTATATTTTGCCATTTGCATTCTTTCCCTGTCTTCCATCCATGCCACATGTACTTTCCCCAGGTGTCAAAAATGCAGCTTTTCACCTCCCCTGGCTGTTAAAACCAAAGCTCCCATCATGAATCTTGCCTCATGTTCAGGTCCACGTCAGCTTTAATCTGGAACAATCGCCCATATCATGTTGCTTTTTTAATGGCTCTCATACGCTAACTAGGCCAGCATCTTTAAATCTCCCAGTTCTGGATTTCTCTCGCAGGCTCACACTGAACATTTTTGGCCCCCTGAGTGAGGGTGTGTCTTCCTGACGGCACATAACTCCAGGTTGTTCCCGCACTGACGAGGCTGCCTTTGACCCGTAAATGAAGTTGACTGCTCTCAGATATTATTTTCATTTGTTTGGTTTTTTAATTTATTTTATTTATGCATGTTAGAACTGGGGTATAGCCAGAGGTGTGGGGAGTGAGAGGATCCACCGGAGACAGAGTGGGGAGCAGAAGAGGAGGATCAACTACTGAGGGGAGCAGCGGGGAGACAGGAGAGGCCTGCTGCGCCATGTGGGTCACTCCTGGCCAGACTGAACTGGTGCTGCAGTGGCAGTGGACAGTTTCATAGTGCTGAGACTTAACCCTCTGTGCCACCAGGGAGGGCCAATCAGATATTACTTTTAATTATCATAATGAGGCACTGGGTGCCCTCCCGAAAGCCACGTCACACATGTGCTCCCATTCAGAAAGGCCTAGCCGTTCCCTTGATAACCCGACATACCCACTTCTTGTCACAAAGTCAGAAAAATGTGTCTGCTTGTCCACTGCCTTTCAATGCATCCCCACCCCTGGGAATTGTCTCTCATAACTCCTCCCCAAAAGGGGAGTCCAGAGAAAGGAGAGTATCAAGATGGAGGACCCAGAGCAAATCTAGCCTTTGCCCCTTGCATACTAACCCATTGCTAGCCCTGGGGAGCCACTTCCTCTCTGAGACTCATTTGCCTGTTTGTAAAATAGAGTTAATAATAGTTCTTAGCGGGCTCTCCCTGGTGGCGCAGTGGGTTAAAGCACAGCACTAAGAAGCTAAAGCCACTTCCTCACAAGTTCAATCCCCACCTGCCCCGGAGGTGACCCACACTGGAAGGCAGGGATGAGCCCCTGCTGGGTTCTGGCCTGGCACAAGATTGGCAGGCAGTAGGCCCAACCAGACTGTCCTCAGGCCGGGACCAACCTTGTCCTGTGTCCCCCCAGCCTTCCTGCTGTGGGACCCGGCCAAGGTGCCCCCGAGACTGCAGGATGTGACTGATGACCACATTCGGATGCACAAGGTACTCCAGGAGTCGGGGCTGAAGTACGTGGCCGTGATGCCCCCGCACATAGGTGAGTAGGGCAGAGCCGCAGCACTGCCCCCCGCCCCTCCCATGCTGGGGGGAGGCCACCAGGCCATCCCTGGCCAGCCTGCCGTGGCCGGCTGCCGCCCCTACACACACTCTCTCTCTCTCTGTTTCTTTCCCTGCTTCACGGTGCCTCCATTCCAACTTACCGTTTGGTTCTCCGGTGAACAAGCGACACAAAATCTAGACATGTCAAAGGCTGGTGTTTAGCGGCCTCCCTCCTGGGAGCTGGCTACTGGTGGGCGCTTCTTGCTGGTTTTATTCCTTTTTGTTTTGTTTTGTTTTTTTTTAAAGATTTATTTATTTGTGCATACAGAACTGGGGTACAGGCCAGAGGCTCAGGGGCGGCGAGAGGCTTCAC